ACCGCACCAAGAACAGCCTATAACTGGAAACCGCGTTTTGAGAAAAACGCATTTAAAGTTTTGTTTTTGATGTACTGCGCAGACTTTCCTATGCAGGTACCCTGTTTTGGTGTTTTTGGGTGACCTAACCCTTCTATTGAAGGATGCTGGGTAGATTTTGCGATACATTTTGGGTTTACACTCCAATATATTTAATTTAAAAAAACGGTTTATAGGTCATTATTACGTCCAACAGTCATTTTGGTGGCAATATGAAGTATAAATCATTTTAATCACGCATGATTAACGGAAAATGAAAGAATATCGATAGTGAGTATAGAAGGGGGTAACTAGCACCTTATAGGCCCTAAAGTTCATAGGCCCGTATTACGCCCAACAGTCATTTTGGTGACAATATGCGAAGTATACAATTTCGGAGGAATGGATAGTTTGAGAGGAGAATAAATTATTTCAATAGCTCGTTTTTCTGAAATAAAAACAAATCTTTTTAAAATGAGATAAAAAAATCGAGCCATCACTATCGCCGCGTCGCGCCGATGCCCGCGAACCGAGAATGATAAGGCCGCGCGAATAGGTCGTTCTTGCACCCATCGATCCAGAGGCCTGACTTAACTCGGGAAAAAAGGTTTGTCGACCTCGAGCCGTTACCTATCTATATTCTATCGCTACCACAGCATAGTCCAGGGTACGTAGAATCCGAAAAGCAGATGGGCGTAATAACGACCTATACGCCTATAGGCTGTTCTTGGTGCGGTGTCCTCAATTGTTCAGAAATCTATCCCAAAAAATATCACCCCAGTATTGTTACTACCTCTTTTTTTCATATGAAAAAAAGAGCACATTGCGAGGCAAAGCAAGTAACAAATCATAAAACAAAGACAGTAATATTATCACTTGCTTCTGGTTGCTAAAACCAAGCAGTTTCCAGCCTGCCGACGGATGACAGGCGAATGAAAGTAACCCAGGAGCTTACAAAGCATCTTTTCAAAGTTGTCTGCAAATGGAATCTCCTGGAAAACGATGTTCCACAGTAAAACAACCTGTCCGCTTAGAGAGGCTGATTTACCTATCCGTCAGGAGTGGATTTCCATAGAGAACTTGATTTGTCAAAATTTTGGAGACGGCCCTGTTTTTAAATTCTCAATTCAAATACCCAGAGAAAAAGTGAATTATCTGGATTCTTTCCTTATAAAAATAATGATTTCTTTTTTTAAAAAACAATAGTTGGCAGACCTTTTAAGAAATTTTTAAAAAATGAGAAAGTTGCACAATTTTCACACCTGACTCATGTTACAGTCTGGTGGGTAAGGATTTTGGATTGTAATAAAACGTAGAGCTTCCGTAAACTTGTTACATCTGATTCATCTACCATCTTCATTTGAAATAGTGAAAAACTACTGACAAAACCTCTTGTGTTGGACATAAATGAAGCTGCAGGATGAAATTCTAGGACTGTGCGAGCCTGGTTTTTTGGATTCGAGCCGAGTTCGAGTATTTTTTCACTAAGTCGAGCCGAGTTCGAGCTTTTTCGAGCTTTGAAAATGACCCTCAAGCCGAGTCGAGCTCGAGTCGAGTTCGAGTAATTTCGAGTTTTAAAACGTGATCAATTAATCTGCGGCGTACATCAAAGGAACTTCGGGCGGCACAAGTGAAGGCTTTAGAGCCCATTTATGCACGCAATTCATGTCGCCGTGTCGCCGCGACGTTTTTTGGAATCGCGCGATCCATATTTTTGTAGCCGTAGCACCTTTCTTCTGCCGCCGCGACACCGTTTATCTGGAGCGCAAAAGGTCCAAAACACGTGCTCACTTTCAGTCTTCCAAGCGGCGCACATTGGTTCCCAGACCCGATCTAGGTGGCATTAATTCGAAAAAATGAATTTTAGAAAAATTAAAATTTGACACCACAGATTGATAGTGCATACTCTCGAGAGTAACTTGGCCAAATATCATGAAGATTGGATCACTAATAAGGAAATGATAAGCACCTAAAGGTGAGGCCGCGAGGTACTTTTGGGCGGACTCGCACCAGTTTTCAGTGTTCACTGTCAGGTCCTATGATTTGAAGTTCATCACACAGAAATAGATGCAAATGTGAAGTGTTCTGTTATGGTGTATCAAAAATATAAGGCATGTTAAAGGTTTATACGTTCTTACTATCTTTCAAAAACGTGTCTATACATCTAGACAAGCCGTTAGACAAAGCGTTATTTTCTACTAATTCCAAGCAAATTTTTACAAAAATGGCTCTAGATGAATGTCTTGCGCCGGTTCGCACGCATACAGACCTACTGTAGTAGTTAGTACTAACCCTAAACTTGATTTTAGTGCAATAAAATTCTGCGCATACTTGCGTCCCTGGGGGTTAGGGCACTTTGAATTTCCAAAACCGGCTTTCAAGAAATAAAGAATTGACACACTAAGGAGCTTACTGCAGACCTCAGATCCTTGGGAATATGAATACTGCATTTTTTACAGGTCATGTGGGTTCTCAAGTCTTCATAATCGTTAAGATGATTATTTTTTACTTTGTCTATACCTCTAGAGAAGCCCATAGACTTACCACAGCTCCGGTTTTTTGACTGGAAATTTTACAATTATGACTCAAAATAAAGGCCCTGCGTAGGTTCGCACACGTGCAGACCGACTGTAGTAGTTAGTGCTGACCCTACAGTTGATTTCGGAGCAAAAAAATTCTGCGCATACTTGCGTCCCTGGAGGTTAGCGCACTTTGAATTTCCAAAACCGGCCTTCGAGAAATGAAGAAAATTGACACACTGAGGAGTTTACTGCACTACTGCAGGACTGCATTGTTTGCACATCACGTGAGTTCTCAAATCCTCACAATCATTGGGATGATTATTTTTCACCTTGTCTATACCTGTAGAGAAGCCCATAGACTAAAGACAGTTCCCGTTTTTTGACTAGAAATTTTGCAATTATGGCTCAAAATACAGAACACGTGGGTTCTTAAATCCTCTCAATCGTTTAGAGAATTGTTTTTCACATTGTCTGTACCTTTAGAGAGGCCCATAGACATAGCACTGTTCCACGGAAAAGGAGCTTACTGCACTCCTCGCGCATTATTCCGTGATTGTATGAGTAAATGTCCTCTAACTTAACAACGAATGCTTATTTCTTTCTTGGTTCATGATTTCTTCGTGTTTTTATTCTCTCAGGTTTGTAAGGCTCTGAAATCATCGCAAGCTCACAACTTTGTTTAAAAAAGAAAAAAAAGCAAGCGTGACACCTCACCCTTTTTGATGCGCAATAAAATATTATACCGATGAATATTTTCCTGCTCTTACAGACAGTAATCATTTTTCGTTCAAAATACTTTGTTATTAATTTTGGTTTCTGCTTTCCTTCATTGAGTGAATATACTTCTTGTTCAAGTAAAATATTTATGTTACGTATGTTTAAATTGCCGCGTATAATGAATTTAAATGTATGTTTTGAATTATAGACGAAGATCGAATCTTAATTCATAGTTATTCTGATAACATAATAATTTTGATAGCATAATTGTACCATTAAATTACAAAGCTTCAAAATTTCTGTTGGTTTTAAAGCGCGGCGAATCAAGAAATCAGCGAGCATTGAGGTTCAAATAAAGGTCTTCTTACGCTGATTTGTCAACACTGTATGAACAACTCGAATAGTGGGATAAGCAGTTTTCTTTGGTACTGGAATTTATTTTCCTCAGGGAAACCACAACATTTAGGAGGTATATTTTACCAGATAATACCAATTCCTGGTTCACAAAATTACACAACATTGCCCCCCCCCCCCCCCATAAAAAAATTAGTAATTAGAGGACAAATCCTCGTAAATTCATCGATAGTTTTTGATGATAAATCAAAAAAGGTTGAAAAATATATCAGTCCAGGAATTCAGCAAGGTTAAAATATTATTAATGTAGTATTAAGTATGAATTTTCAAGCTAAATGCAAATTTACCACCTTATGCTAAATGATACAGTCAAAGTGACTTCAAATTCGTAATTAGCGACCCAAAGAACCCCTAGAAACATATATAACATGTCATCATCAGTGATATTCTAATTAATGCCACCTAGATCGGGCCCTGGAACCAATGTGCGGCGGTCGCCGCCGCAGGTTGAAATTGGTCGCGCGCATAAATGCGCTCATATGACTCCGTGTGTTTACAAACCGCGGGCGGCAGGAAATCGCCGGGCGGTAGCGAGTTGGCGCTGCGGATGGTAGAAATTTGCCGACGAGACTCTGATGTTACTTAATCGTAAAATGATGGCAAAACTAACGTTAGTTGAAGTATGATTGAAATATTTGGAAGTTGGACTCTTTCGGCGTTTCCGGCTCAAAAAAACTCGAAATACTCGAAAAAACTCGTGTTGTTGACACTCGAGCCGAGTTCGAGTACTCGCTCGAACCTAACCTAACTTTCGAGCCGAGTCGAGTACTCGATACTCGGCTCGACTCGACTCGAAATTCGAGTACTCGCACAGCCCTAGAAATTACACATGCCTCAGTTCACTCAGTTATCATGACACATGGTGCAATTGAGGAGCTTTTTAGAAAAAAGCCCACAGCAAAAAAGCGTTTTGAGAGAAAAGCATTTGAACTTTTAACAATGGTCTCATTTTTCGTTTTGGGGTGGATAACTTTATTCTAGGCATCCAAGTTTCGATGTAAGTCACCATTATAGGCCAAAAAGTAATAATGAAAACTGCAAATGCATTTTTCTCTGGACGCGATTCTTCATATAGGTCCTTTTCCCCGAAAGCTCCTCAATTGAGATCGGTAAGATAGAAATATGTAAATCTACTCTTTGATCAGTTCAAATTCAAGAAAGAACTTCATCATCCGAGGAAGCTTGCCATGAAAATATCCCTGGCTGGAAGTTAAGTAATATGCAATGATAAAGGAGGGAACTAAAACTATAAATGTAGTAGCAATAAAATCAGATTCCACTCAGGATCTGTAAATCGAGTAAAATGCAAATAAACATAGTACAGTCGTATAAAAATATAGATATGTACTTAAACTCTACAGGAAAAATATTCAACCCTTTAACTCCAATTGACTTGCTTACAGCTGCATTTTATTGCACACAGAATCGATTATTTTGACATTTTCTGAGACTCAGAATAAAATCGGACAAGTAAAATTAATATCATAAAATCAAACAAAAAGGTTATTGAGAAAATCTTTGAATTAATCAAAATGAAAAGTAAATGAAAGAATCGACCTTTCTTACAAATTCTTAGAGATGTATAATCTCAACATAAAATACCCTTTGATTAGAAAGGAGGCAAAGATGAAAAAAATAACTCTTTCATACGAAACATTTCAGGGTTCCTTCAAAGGACAAGAATAGAAAAGAAACTCAGGCTTTCCTTTAAATGTGTATGAAAGTAAAATGAGAAACTGACCCATGAATTGTTTTAAAGGAACTGTTATCTGACTAAATTTCAATTCATTCTTCATTCTCAAAAAATTTTCAAATTAAGTACTGGCACTCAAATCCTGATTTGGAGATTCCTTGTCTCCACGTGCTGTGCATCTAAATTTTGAAGTCATGAAGATTATTATGTATTATAGGCTCAAATACCAAGAAAAAAACCTTGGTGAGAGAAGAGAGTTAATACATTTTGCTTAATGAGGCTACTTTAAAGCTTTTAAATATGTGGTTACGTACCTAAGCTTGAATTATTAAAACTAAAGAAGGGGAGAAAATATTAATTGTGGGTGATCAAACACTATGGCTATAAAAAAATGTCTGCCCTCTTCCTTTGCAGACATACATGGACGTATACATTTCATCTCAGTGAGAGAGAATTGAATTTCTCCTTTTAAGAATATTGGAGTAGGCCTGAATATGTTGACGACTAAACTTAGAAAACATCTGTTACAAAATTTCCATTATAACATGTTTTAGCCATTCATTTAATTTTTTCTCTTTCTGGAGCGATAACCAACCGCTTTCAAGGCCTGAAATATTCAAAGAAAACTCTTTGAGAACAAAGGAAAGATTAGACTCCAATTGTAAAATAAACAAAATGGGGAAATGTCTACGATTTGATTTGAATTGCATGTTTTAAGAGTTTAACTATTATTACAGCCACTTGATACCACAGAGAAATTTTTATGGGAGAATTCGGTTCACTTTTGAGCCAAATTTCACAGAATTGCCAACTGTCAAAGAAAAACACTCATCAGAGGGCAAAAACTGAGCTCTGTAGTGACAAACTCAGGCAATGGTCAGTAAGGTTGATGTAATCCTTAATACTGCCGACATGAAAACTAATAGTTGTAGAAGCAATTTAATTTTTTTGTAATCGAGGTTGGTAGTATGTAAAAAAAACTTGACAATAAACAAGAGTTGGGTGTAAAGCAACTCTAAGTTTAGAGAAAATTTGTTACAGGAGTATTTATAGAATAAGCACTATGGCCTGTTATGTTATGTCAAAATCTTGTCTCTAAAAAACTTGAACCTGGTTCTCTCACAGATATTTGAAAGACTTACATTGATAGATGCCATTGCAAAAATAGCACTTAGGTTTTAATTCATGATATAATGGTCTCAATAAAGAATACTGTAACTTACGACTCTCCGTGCAATATTTCTGAAATTTTGAGTCTTCATGGGAACTTGAAATAGGAGGTTTCAGGAGATGGAAGTAACAGCACAGGTTTAAATTGAGAAAAACAACTTGGCTATGAAAATCATCGAGTTTAAAATCACAATAGCAATACTGTACAAGGGAGGGACTATCGACCTGGATCTTAAATTATATTAAAAATCCCCCCAAAAAACAAGTCCAAGGTGACTGATTTAAATTTGGTACAATCTGTTCAAATGTTTTCACTTTAAATTTGATTAATTTTTCCCTGGGCTGTTTATGAAAAAGTAATGAATACTGATGATGAAAAATTGATTGTTTATGGTAAGACCTATGTTCAGGAATGACTCTTTTAGTCAAGACACAATAGAAAATGTTCAAGAGAAAATTGCGAACCAGCCAATTTTTATTTTTTGAGCTTAGTTGAGCCCCTGGATGTCCAAAAGTAGTCCGAGCTTTGGAGAAAAGATAGAATGAAAATCACACTCAGACATCAGAGGGTGGACTGGCGAACTTCATAAAAAAACTTAAGTAGAGAGTCAAGTTTCAGATGGTAGAACTTACAAAGAGGATAGCAAGTATTGCAGTAGCGAACTAACCATTATCACAACTTAAAATTAGCATTCACAATTTTATTTTTTTTTGGTTTAGGATTCCAGAACAATTGTTATTTTGATGTCCTTCAATTTATAGAAATCTTCCAAATGATGAATCTGTAAAAACTTGGACATTCTTTGATGGGGATTTTTCCTTAGATCCAGGATGATGTAATAATACAATAATAGATACATTATGAAATGATTCAACAAAACTTTATACAAATTATAGAAATAGCTATGACCTGAATCAACAAGAGTTTTTGTTGATGGACCTAGTTGAACAGAACAGAACTTGGATCCTCGTTGTCAATCTGCTTGATGTAGCGTAATATGTCCTTCTTGGTGATGATACCAAGCAAACGTCTGAAATAAGTTATGGAATTGATGACAGATTTTTATTTTTTGTTATTGTTGAGAGATTGAGATAAATAGTGGTTTCGGTCTTGAAATGAATGGTTGAATTTTAAAGGTAAAGAATAGTAATTGATTAGTTAACCCATTGACTTACAATGACGGCTCCCAGCCGTCATCGCAGCGCTGGGCCAGCTCTGCAATGACGGCTCAGAGCCGTCCACTGATTGTTCGCGTTATTTCGGCAATTCTCCGGTAGATTGCGTTCTCATCAATGTTTATATGAGTAGTGTGGCCACCCTATGACTTCTTGTGTACGGTAATTTCTTGTTTTGTTGCGGTATTTTCATATTACTGTGCGTTTGCACATGAAATAACCTCAAAATTTTCTGATTTTCGCTGATCTTGCGATTTTTGCGATTTTGACAGCTATAAACCACATAAAAAAATCATTGTGTTCAAGATTTTCACCATTTTTCTCAAACCTTGTATTGTGAATGCTTATTATGTCAATTTTCACCCTTTGAGAAATAATTTCTGGATTATTTTGAAGTATTCAAAGTTGCTGATTTTCGCCAAATTAAATCGTAATTCCTGGCCCGGCAGGGTCAAATTAAATCATAAGTCAATGGGTTAAACAATTGAAGTGCTAGGTGCAGAAAGGGCATTTCTTGGTTGCCGAGTCTCAGAATCTCCGCTAACAGTTGAATCATTATAATGGGCCTGTTGCAAACTTTTGCTAGAGCAAAAATAAGAGTAGTTTCTTATTGATAATACCTCAAAAATCACGATGAGCGCATCGGCAAAGTCTGAAATGCACTCATAACTTCACAGTCTGCGTAAGAAATTTGCGGTTTTTTGAGCTTCCCGCTTCAAAAACGATACTACGGCACAGGTGAACATTTTGTAAGAGGAGTCGTTCCATTGTCGGCAATAATCATCATGGCCGACGCCAATCCGCCAAAACACGTTTGATGGGACGAGATAACACCTGATTGGTTTAGACCAGATAACAATCGGTGAGTTAACGTTCATATTTTCCACGCCCGCATTGATTGACCTTGAACTCTCCTTAAATTATGCGCGGAACTGCGCGCAAGCGTCGGCCATGATGAATATCGCCGACGATGTAGCGACTCCTCTGACAAAATGTTCACCTGTGCCGTAGTATCGTTTTTGAAGCGGGAAGCTTAAAAAAACGCATATTTCTTAGGCAGATTGTGAAGTTGTGAGTGCATTTCAGACTTTGCCGATGCGCTCATCGTGATTTTTGAGGTATTATCTACAAGAAACAGCTCTTATTTTTGCTCTAGCAAAAGTTTGCAACAGGCCCATTGAAGCATACAGGGTGTCTTAGAGCACCCATACCAGGCCTATTTCTCAGTTGATTTAGGTCGAATGAAGTTGGGGGACACGAAGTTGAATAGGGAATCGACCCAGAGGAATCTGAATTTCATGGTCTCGAAATGAGGTCCCCGTTGGGAGGTAAAGGGGGGGGGGTCACGATTCTGAAAGTCGGGGTTTTCGATCGAATTTCGATTCGATTTCAATAGAATTGAAAAGTTCGTATAATTTTACGTGAAGTTGACCCTTAAAAATCCAAAATCGGACAACTTTACGCCCACAAAGGATCCCTTAAAGATGGGCACAGCGGCCCCCTACATAGTTTCCTTTTGGTCAAAAATTGACGCAAATTCTCTTGAAAAAACAGAATATCCAGGTAATCGACCCCAATGAATCCGATTTTCATGGTCCCGAGGCCCCCCTAGCCACCCTTGAGAGGTAAAATGAGGGGCAACATTTCCCCCGACTTTTGAAATTTTGCCTTCTCCATTTAACCCCCAACACCCCCAACGGAGGCTAGGGGGGCCTCAGGACCATGAAAATCGGATTCATTGGGGTCGATTACCTGAAAACCCATCTTTTTCTGGAGAGTCTCTGTCAATTTTAGACCAAAGGGAAATTATGGAGGGGGCCGCTGTATCCCTCTTTAAGGGATCATTTTTGGGCATGAGGTGATCCGATTTTGGATTTTTAGGGGTCGATTTCACGTAAAATTTTTCGTACTATTCAATTCTGATGAAATCGAATCGAAATTCCATCGAAAACCCCAACTTTCAGGATCGTGACCCCCCCTTCACCTCCCAAAGGGGGCAGGGGGAGGGGGTTCTAGACTGGGAAATTCGGATTTCTTGGGGTCGATTCCCTATTCAACCCCGCGTTCTCCGACTTCGTTTGACCTAAATCAACCGAGAAAAAGGCCTGGTGCGGGTGCTCTGGGACATCCTGTACTGTATAGAATCTGTTGAAACATTTACTGAATTTTCTCTATGATTATACAAGACTAAAAACGAAAATTCTAGAAAATTCACTAAATAGTTTCCTCTCTAAAATCATCATTATATTACAGCTCTTGGCGTGCGCAAAATTCGCCCAAAAGGAGGGGTTGCGATTTGGGCCAAAATCGGCCCCTCCGCGGAATTGGATGATTTTTGGATATTTGGCAGTTGACGGCGCATATTTGATGGAAATAATCGAGTTTAGCCGATACTCACGTTTTTTGGCTGCAAAACAGGGGCCTAAACATGGCTCCGTGGCCGAAAATAGCCGAAATTTCGCGTTTTTCGTGGTTCTACCTCAGATTTCGACCTGGGCCCAAGAGCGACGGGTGATGAGCTTTGAATATGGTGTCTGCGACACTTAGACACGTAACATACATGAATATGATCAACCGTTGCCTTTGGGCCCAACCTCAAAATCAAACTTTTCCAACTTTTTAGCCCGAAACAGCTGAAAATCCATGTTTTCCGCGGTTCTACCTCAGATTTCGACCTGGGCCCAAAGGCGACCGGTGATGAGCTTCAAATATGGTGTCTGGGACACCCAGACACGTGACATACTTGAATATGATCAACCGTCGCCTTTGGGCCCAACCTCAAAATCGAACTTTTCCAACTTTCCAACAAAGCAAACTTCTCTGACTTCCTGAGGCCATGATAAGCACTGTGGAGTTACATTTGGTGAAAACTGCATTCAGTCAAAAAGAACCTATCGTGAGGTTCCTATCATGAGATATCTCTCACCTGAGATAGTCATCAAATACAAACGTGTATGCTGTTTAATTACAGTGAGCTTTTCATAAAGGTAATATTACCAAGCACTGGAGAGCTCAAGCAAGCGATCAAGGAATCTGGAGCTGACAAGTTAACCTATTAGTGAAATAGTAAAAAACTCAGTTTTCGCAGTCATTCAAGTGACTTGTGACAGACAATATAGCAAGAAGATATGAATCCATTCTCTGTATTCGAAGGCAAATTCTAGGGTTCAGTCCAGAACCTGAATAGAACGTTGCACAAAACAGTACTTTTCAACTATTTCGGGGTAAAAAGTTGGAAAAGTTCGATTTTGAGGTTGGGCCCAAAGGCGACGGTTGATCATATTCAAGTACGTTACGTGTCTAGGTGTCCCAGACACCATATTCGAAGCCCATCGACCGTCGCCTTTGGGCCAAGGTCAAAATCTGAGGTCGAACCGCGGAAAACATGGATTTTCAGATATTTCGGGCTAAAAAGTTGGATAAGTTCGATTTTGAGGTTGGGCCCAAAGGCGACGGTTGATCATATTCAAGTATGTTACGTGTCTAGGTGTCGCAGACACCATATTCGAAGCTCATCACCCGTCGCTTTTGGGCCCAGGTCGAAATCTGAGGTAGAACCGCGGAAAACATGGATTTTCAGCTATTTCGGGCTAAAAAGTTGGAAAAGTTTGATTTTGAGGTTGGGCCCAAAGGCGACGGTTGATCATATTCAAGTATGATATGTGTCTAGGTGTCCCAGACACCATATTCGAAGCTCATCACCCGTCGCTTTTGGGCCCAGGTCGAAATCTGAGGTAGAACCGCGAAAAACGCGAAATTTCGGCTATTTTCGGCCACGGAGCCATGTTTAGGCCCCTGTTTCACAGCCAAAAAACGTGAGTATCGGGCAAACTCGATTATTTCCATCACATACGCACCGTCAACTGCCAAATATCCAAAAATCATCCAATTCCGCGGAGGGGCCGATTTCGGCCCAAATCGCAACCCCTCCTTTGTACCAGGAATTCCTCCACCCCCCTTGGGAGGCGCCGCGCAGGCCCACCGACCACTCACCGCAGCGGTAGCCTCCCTCCCCCCCGGCGCCGCGACGCCCGTCCTCCGCCGGCTGCAGGGCAGAGTTCCAACCCCACCACCCGCACCCCGTATCGCGCCGCGCTCATCGGCTTCTAGAACACTAAGCTGCCGCGACCAGTGGTTCCTTTCCATCCCTCTCTTCATTCTTCAGTTTCTGTGAGCACTGCAGCCGGTACCGGGGAGGCTCCCCTTTTGTCCATCCAAAACTTTCTAGAATTCTCATAGATATAAGGAGGGTGTCACATGGCAACGAGTAGTACCTGTTTCTGGAACTTTTTACAACTCTTTTGAATTTTCATCATTCAGGAGACCATCAGTAAAACGATGACCCTCATTAATCCTCTCCAAAACTTCACAGAATTTTCTCGGACTTTCGTAAGGTGTCATGACTGAAAGTAGCTTTTCTCGAATTTGTTCGAGCTCTCTCAAATTTTCTCCAGGCGAAGCGCAATGAAATTGAGTCCCGTGCCATGTTCTTTTGGGAGCTTTCTAGAATATTCTTAGACTTTCGGAAGAGTGTTGCAAGGCAACGAGTGGCATTTGTTTCTGGAACTTTCTGGAATGTAGTAAAAGTGGTAGTGACAGGAATGTGGCTTGCTAGCGAGCCATAATCACTCGCAGAGAGAGTGTTGGGAGTCCAGGGGGCGAAGCCCCAATTTAGTAGTGACGATTTTGAGACACTGCAACCAACAAATGCTCTTTTTGCACGCAACACCTAAGTTGCCGGGGAAAATAGATATTTTACCAAAATTCAAAATCAACATACCATCCAAGTTGGTAATATTTGGTTTGTTTTTTTCTATTTTCTTGGTTTTATTTAAGGTTTGATTATTATTTTAGGTACAATATGATGATAAGAATGAGCTATGTAATACAGAATGCATAATACTGCACTAGTAACAGACAGGGCTTGAGATGATTGTGTGACTTGATAGCACCAGGAGAATACTTGAAATCTGCATTTTAGTAATCAGATGCAGTTACATTAACTGCCTTGTTAGTCAGCATGTTCAAGAACGAAATAACTTACCCATTGTGTGTGACTAGCGTCTGACGTAATCCTAATTTACGGAACATGTCTACAACGGTCTCCATTGGAGTTTGATCAGTGATGGTGATGGGAGCCAGGTCCAAGATTTTTTCAAGCCTCAAAGGTGGGGGGCTATGAGGAGCTAATGGAGATTGCGGGCTTGTTGTGAATAAAACTAGCGAGTTATTTCTTAGGCCAGTCATTGTTCGTTTGGCGTTTTCTGCAGAAAAAAAAACAAGAAAACACAAAACTTACAAAAAGGGGAAAAACTGGCAAAATGAAATGCACAAATTAGGTACTTACAGGGTTGGGCGAGTAGTTTTCCAGCTTCAAAACGAATTAAATTTAAAAAAGAAAAATTGAATATCGATTAAATGAATAGATTTACCTACTTTTGGCCAGAGCTACCTCCATATTTCATTAATTTTACAGAAAAATTCGAATTCATGTTTTTTTGTCTGTCTTTTTATCTCATGATGCAAGATATTTCTGAGAACTTAGAGTGCTGACACTTCTGAAAATGAGGAAAGGCTCGAAATAATGTGGAAAGGCAAATTATTGAAAAAACTCCTTAAAAGAGGGGATAAATCAAGATAATGGATGGGGAAAGGTCCTGGAAGATTCCAAACATGTAGAAACATTCCTAAATCATAACACGTAACTTAACCTAACACCAGCTTCTTACAGGTTGCTAAGAAACAAATAAAATTTCATTTATATCTTTGATTTTTTTAGTTAAAATAGAAGACAGCAAATATATGAGAATTATTCACACATTGGAATCTTGAATCAGTGCTACCTTTAAGGGAACATAACAGGAGTGGGTTTTTACATCGCTTTGAGGCATTCTAAATGTTTTCTTCCTATTTCCTACCCTATTATCTGCACACACATTTTCTCTTTAAAAAATATTGTTACAAAATTATTACAGCTGATCTTATTAAAAATTCACAAGATTTGATACACTAGTAGTGAGCTGTTATTATGTGCAGTATGGTGTGAGCATTGCTGAAGGTTCTATTTGCCAATCCGTTTGCATTAATTTTGGTTTCTACGTTTTGGTATGTTCATTTACTGTTTTAAAATATCACATAACAGTTTAAGCGGTGAGTTCGAAATACTTACCAATTGCTAAATTAAGATCTCGCCTGATGACAAAACCAACTAGATATTGCGATTCATGGGAAACAACAACAGGGAACCCATTATGTTCAGTCTCTTTCAACATAGCCTCAACTTCTTCGAATGCCATTGAGTCTTGTGTCAATACACTCAGTGGTTCGCTGCGCCTGCAAAGGAAGAAATTATTTTATTTCATGAAATTGCATGAATGAGAAAGCATGAGCAGTAAAAAAGGATTTGTCACAGACAGAGAAGAAACAGTCGATACAGCTATGCACTTGCTAATGAGTTTCTTTATATCATTGACAGATTGCAATTATACATCACTTCTTAGTTAATTAGAAGAAAAATAATATATATTGCCAATGATGCAGAAAAAGTGGAAAAAGTTCCACCTGTATTCCTTAATGCCAATGATCATTTCGCGCTTAAGCGCATCATAAGGGTATAGATACTGTAATCATATCGCGTGAGGAAACGCACATCACAAATATAAAAAATTATTGAAATATTTGAAAACATTTTTCGCATTGTACGCGTAAAAGGTATCCCGTAAAAAATAAGTGTTTTACAGGATACTTTTTCCGCGTATTATGTGAAAAAAGTTTTTGAACATTGTAAACATTTTTTATATTTGTGGCGTGAATTTCCTCAACGCCATATGATTACCGTATCTACACCTTGACGATGCCCTTAAGCGCGAAATGATCATTGGCATTAAGGAATAAACGTAAAACTTTTTCCACTTTTTCTGCATCACTGGCAATATATGTAATTTTTCTTCTAATTTCTTTATACAGGGTGTTTCAGACCACCCGTACCAGGCCTTTTTCTCGGTTGGTTTAGGTCGTACGAAGTCGGAGACCGCGGGGTTGAATAGGGAATTGACCCCAAGGAATCCAAATTTTGTGGTCCCGAAACCCCCCCACCCCCCCTTGGGAGGTAAAGGGGGGGTCACGATGCTAAAAGTCACGGTTCCCGACCGAATTGCGGATAGATCGCATCAGAATTGAAAAGCACGGAAAATTTCACGTGGAATTGAACCCCAAAAATCCAAAATCGGACCATCCAAGGCCCAAAAATGACCCTTTAAAGAGGGAGACAGTACCCCCCTTCCTATTATCTCTTTGATCTCAAAATTGACGTAAATTCTCCAGAAAAAGACAGTTTCCCGGGTAATCGACCTCGAGAAATCCAAATTTCATGGTCCCGAAGCTCCTCTAGCCCCCCTTTGGGAGTAAACGGGGGGGGGGGCCCAATTTTAAAGATCCGGGCTCCTTTCCGAATCGCAAATTGATTGCATCCAAATTGAGGAGCAGAACATATTTACATCTTAAGTGACTCCTATGAGTTCTAATAGACCCCCTGTACGGCAAAAAGTAACTCCCTGAGGAGGGGAGCTTCGCCCCCGCCAAAAATTTCACAAGATTCCTCTTTGGTCGCACAATTGACGTCGATTCTCCAGAACAAAACGGTCTCCCATGTAATCGACCCCGAGGAGCTCAGGAAACATGAAATTTAGAGTCTTCGGGGTAGATTACATGGGGAACCATCTTTTTCTGGAGAATCGACGTCAATTTTGCGACCAAAGAGGAATCTTGTGAAATTTTTGGCGGGAGCGAAGCCCCCTCCTCAGCAGGCCCGCCACATCCCATCTCGGGCCCTGGTACCAGTTTTAAGGTCCGGGCCCCAAGCACGGAGGGGAGGGGGTCCGAGGGGCATCCCCCGAGAAATTTTGGAATTTATACGACTAATCGGACGCATTTTGAAGCTTCCATAAAGAATTTTTCCATCAATTTCTGCGGAATGATTATGTTTTTTTTTTCTACTTTCAGCACAAAATACTTGCGAATTGTTGCATTCAAAACATCTGGAAATTTTTTTTTTTTTGGGGGGGGGGCATATGATACTATTTGCAGTTCTAAGAGGGCCAGGCCCCCCTGGACTCCCCCTTCGTTTGTCTATGGCAAGGGAGTTCAGCCATGAGCCATTGAAGTCAGTGGCGTGGCGTGAATTGCGATGTATCGATTGTTATGCCATTTAAACCTATGGTAAAGAATCGATTATTAAGGTGTTCGCTGCGAACACCCTGTTTATCGATCCTTTTCCGTAGATTTAAATGGCATAACAATCGATACATCGCAATTCACGCCACACCACTGATTGAAGTCGAGGATGCCCAGACTGGAGACTCTTAGCATCTGACGACGGAAGAAAATGAAACGCAGTTACTAAAAATATCCCTCTGTACTAACAATCTTGAAAATATATAGAAATTTTCCAAGAAGTATACTTCTTTGAAAATTTAAGACGAATTCTACAGTGCCCCAGCGTGTTTCTGAAAATCTATTCACCTTTTGCGAAATTTTTAGGGTAAATTTTTCACTTTTCTTACGAAACAGGGTTTGCATGTGGATTCGTAGTGGTTTATCACGGGTAACACGGGCCCCCTCCGGGGCCCGGGCCCCGGTACCAGGGACCCAGTATCCTCCCCCTTGTGGTGGGCCTGCTCCTCAGGGAGTTACTTTTTGCCGTACAGGGGGTCTATTAGAACTCATAGGAGTCATTTTGTAAATGTGTTCTGCTCCTCAATTTGGATGCAATCAATTTGCGATTCGGAAAGGAGCCCCGATTTTTAAAATTGGGCCCCCCCGTTTACTCCCAAAGGGGGGCTAGGGGAGCTTCGAGACCATGAAATTTGGATTTCTCAAGGTCGATTACCTGGGAAACTGTCTTTATCCGGAGAATTTACGTCAATTTTGAGACCAAAGAGAAATTATGGAGGGGGGTACTGTCCCCCTCTTTAAAGGATCATTTTTGGGCCTTGGATGGTCCGATTTTGGATTTTTAGGGTTCAATTCCACGTGGAATTTTTCCGTGCTTTTCAATTCTGATGCGATCTATCCGCAATTCGGTCGGGAACCGTGAATTTTAGCATCAGGACCCCCCCTTTACCTCCCAAGGGGGGGTTGGGGGGTTTTGGGACCACAAAATTCGGATTCCTTGGGGTCAATTCCCTATTCAACCCCGCGGTCTCCGACTTCGTACGACCTGTACCAACCGAGAAAAAGGCCTGGTACGGGTGGTCTGAAACACCCTGTACATATGAGGACTTATCAGTAACAATAGCAGATGTCGAGTTTTCACATTGTGAGAAAATCGCGTTTGAAGTTTTTGAAGCTTTGCACTTTTCCGCCCGCAGAACCGAGAGGATTCTCATAAAGATTTTCATGAAGAGCAATTCTTCCGGTAAAAAACACACATTTTACCATCTATGTAAGTGAAAAATTGAAGGAGTAACAGCAATTTGAAAAAAATGTGACATCCGCTATTTTTACTGCAAACACTTTTTTATGCATGAAACAAAGTCTTCAGGAAGGGTAAGGCTGGTGAAACGATTGAAATGACCTAAAAGTAAATCAATGCTGAGTCGTTTAACAAAATTGATCAAGAAACTAAACCGTTTGTAACTTTTACAACAAAAACAAGGAACAAATTCTAAAATCAGTTAAAAATTCAAAAATTCTGGCGAGACGGTCCCGATACGTATAATTTGAGTGTCAGCTATAGCCCATGGCCGGTGGGCAGGCAGTTATCGCAAGTGGGTTCAAATCTCCACCGAGTCCTGCCGCGCCGGCCGCGGCAAACAGTGGATTCTCACATCCGCTGTTTTTACAAATAACATGGTTTTCAGTTCATATCTCGCCGAAAAATTGCACTGGAAGTCTGAAACTTGGCACAGGCATTCTTGGAGGCTCTAGATTTCGAAAAAAGCGATTGCCCTAAAATTGGTGGATGTCAGCAACCGCTATTATTACATATATGTCCTCATATGTATTTGTAATCTAAAAAGGTGTCTACTAGAATTTCATTTAGGATTTTTCAGATATACTCCTGTTATTATAAATGAGATTTCCTGATTATCAGGGTGAATACATTGACACTTTTTTGATTTTACGAGCCAGCACATTTGAATCAAATTTGTCACTTTTTCCAGCCGTGATTTTAACTACAAAGCTACAAACTTTGCTGATGAGAAGCTCGATGAGAGAAAGTATTAATTAATGAAGCTTAAGGGATTGGAAATAGCTACGAAAAATTGTATAAAAAGATTTTCCAGGGAAAAAATTAAATAGGCTTATTCATACTAGTAACAAATTATTAATGATAAACCATAAAAGAGAGAGAAAAAAAACAATGACTTCAACTTGATACCTTCATACAGTAAAAAAAGAGAAAATCCAAAATGTTGCCTCTGAAGTTATAAATTAAAAACTTAGTTATGTATTTATTTTCTTGCTTAGGTCCTGACACAAACAAGTCTAAAAAACTTAGACAGATTTAACCAATAAAACCTGTTTTTTAAATAAGTTTCCACTAAATTACAATTCACAGCACTGAAGGATCACTAAGTTCGGACTCTGAGGTTAGGTTGAATTGTTTGGAGCGCGATGCTTTGGGTAGAACTGCCACCTTTTGATAGATCAAACAACACATTAGGGCACTCATGACTGCACAAAAATCCAAATATATTTTGCTGACAATCAAAATGCTACTTTAAAACAACTACAGTGATGTAGATTTCATACAGTGGATGTTACATGGGACAAAGTAGAGAAAGAATCTGATGAGTAGCATTGCTTAGCATGAGAATCTGCGACGTTTCCAGGAAAAATTGTGGTAACAAATTGACAGCACTTCAACTGCACGCCTGGCGCTTCGAGCGGTCAGAAAATGAGTTAGGCCCCCACCCCTCATCAATCAGCCAAAATAATACAGCAGTATCTCCTGCCGGTCCTCTCCCCATTTCTCATTTGGTGGTATGCTGATGTTTGCGAAAAAGCATGCCTAATAATAAACTGCACCAAGTTCTTGAAGAATGCTTAATGCACTTGGAATTTCCTGATCCATGACCAATTTTCCTAATATTTTCCTGAAGAAATACAATTTTCTGATATTTTCTCATTAATAATGATGGTGGATATCTTAGCTAACCTCTGTTTCATTTTCCTCATTGCTTCCTAAGAAATGAGACAGATTCGAAACTCAAATAAGAGGAAAGTACTCCAGAAACAAAGTAGGGCTTGCATTTTGGAATTTTTTGCATCCCTAGTGAGAGAGTATGAATATAATTTCTAGTACCATGAGCACCAGTAAATAACCCACCCTCTGATTTTTGTATACCACAGAATATTTAAGTACATAATAGGCGGTAAAAAAATTTCGTGTAAAACCCCATGTACCGATTTACATATCTTTCATTTTCTAATAATTTCCTTCCATCTGTATGGTCCGATTCTATAATTGAAAAATTGGTGCCGGGTTACCTGCAAGCGCCCACAGTATATCTCAATTATCAAGTACTTACTTTGGCTGCATGACATCCGCAGCAAGTGCAGTGTGTGTAAACTCCTCCTTTGAATCAAGGAATGGGTATCCATTCAAGTTAATGTGTGCATCATAAATGCCTGAGCGACCTAATGCATCTCCGACCCATTTACTAGCCATGGCAGCTGCCATCAGAGGCACAATGTAACGAACACCACCGGTCAATTCAAACATAATGACAACTAATGACACTGAAAAGGGAAGACGCAGTACATTAACATAAGATTGATACAATGTCAAAAAACTGATTCAACCGTCAACCGTATAAGCAACCGTTCAGCTAATTCAGATGTGACTTACGTATTTGATCAATGGTGACTTCAAACATATCAAAGTTATTTTTTTCTGTAAAGTTAACATGACTGCCATGAAAAAAATTGTGGTCTTCTTCCTACCATCACCACAGATTATAAATAGCTTCTGCCGAAAATGACTTCAGAACCTTGGCCAGTTCTTGAGATGCTATCGGGATCTTACAGCTATTTTTGGGTCTACTAAAAGCAGTTACTTCATGATTGCAGGCCTGCAGAAAATGACCCATTTGGTGATCCTATGACGCAGCAGGCGAGAGGTAGATTTTAAGCATTTTACCGCAGTTGCAGCAGACCCATTTTATTATTTTTTGGCTGGACACTTTTCAAACCAGTGAGGCAAATAAATACTTTTGCCGTGAGACAAAAACCGCTGGATCTGAAAAGCGTTAGTCGCATCTAGGGGTCCGCGAAGCGGCGTTTTTCAAAGCGAAGCACAGGCGAAACGAAGCTTTTCCTTTGCTTCGCAAATTGCGAAGCAACTGCGAAGCGAAGCGGAAAAAAACCCCTTCAAATACGCTGGATGCAACCCGCGGAATTTTGTGGCGATCACTCTAGCCAGTCGCGACTCAGCGTGCGGCGGTGGTAAATTTAATTAAACACCGGGAAATACGTGAAGAATTCATTCATTAAATTTTCCCACTTTCCTATGAATTTTAAGATTAAATTTTTGTTGAGATACCAGCAGGTCTAAGATATTTTTTTAAAATTTGTCATCGGTTTTGCTTCAATTATCACGGAATGATAAAAATAAAAACTGTTTTTACTTCTTTTATTTTCCTTTTAATTGATTTTTCTATCTATTTTAATTTAAAACAGAGCAATACCTACAAAATTGTGGTAAATATAATTTGAAAACCATCGATTTAAACTTTTCAAAATTTTTTATTTTTTTTATTAAAGAACACGTCAGCCTCAGTGGTGTAGTGGTCAAGGCAGTTCGCTGCCAACACTGAGGTCCCGGGTTCAATCCCCGGAGGTGACTGATATTTGAGGACACTCAAATATCAGTCATCGTGACTGTGGATGACTATGCCACTCCAATACCCTGACCCTTCGAGGTAACAGGGTGCGGGAGGGACATGGTCACCCAGTAAGTAATCCGTCTGCACTGTTCGACTGGGTTGTGAAAAATCGGTAATCACTCGTAGTGTGCGCGACTGCCAGCGCTACCTATCAGTGTAGATTGCAACAACACAGTCCAACTCGGTGGAGGCATAGCCGTGCTCCGAAATTCCGTGCTCTGCAGCGTCTGCCACAGTCTTTGATAAGACCTTCCGTTGGCTATCAGACGGCCGCTGGGCCTTGCGGGAATATAGAGGATACACAATGTGTCAATAGTACGAAGTTAAAAGTTAAGGAGCACGGTCCAACTTCGGGGTGCACGACGGCCGTAGCCAGTTGCCTTGGCCCCTTGGGGGCGCCTCGCCGGTCAGCCCGGCCTTTACTTACTTACTTACTTACTTATTAAAGAACACAAAGAAAAAAAGTCTCATAAGAACAAATAAGATGAACATTTATTACAAATGTTCATACAGTTTGAGTTTACTTATTTATGAAAATTTATTTCATAAAAACCGAGAATTTTGTACATTTTTGAATTTGTTATGACTTCCATGAACACAATTTGACAAAATTCGCAGAGATAATGATTGATTTAAATGAATAAGTCCTGAAAACCACTCGCAACCCGCGATTCTCCCATAGGCTGTCGTGTTAAAAAATGCCAAACGGTTCCCAGATGGTTCCCACTTTCCGCGGAATAAGGGGCTCAGAATGGCCCATTCATGGATTGACTTCATAGGCGCTCCAGTACATTGCGACTCTACTGTACTATATGTAAATAACGCGGTGCAGCCGCAAGCGCATGCCCAAAGAACTGGTTCACGCAGCGGAATTATCAATCAGTCATTGGCATTTGGCATCATTTCCGAAAGAGCCCAAAAATTTGAATTACTGCTTTCCTTACCACGAAATCTTCGCTTCCCTTTTTCCAACCTCGCGCTTCGTTTTCCGAAGCAAATCTTCACAGACCCCTAGGTGTTTTGGAACTTTCTGCACCTTTGCATAATTGTACCGCAAACACTGTTGTGGCTGGATTACAGAAATTTGTTACCTGTCATGCGTGTGACGCCACCAAGAACAGCAGCAGCTCCTACCATTGCATACAGACCCGGCGTTATACACTCACCAGTTGAACATTCACCAGAAAAGATCCAAATATGAGGATAGTTGAAAGCTAGTTGCTGGACACCTTCAATAGAGAATAGTAACAAATTAGTGGATCTATTGCTATTCTAATGATTATTTACACAATTTGCCACTGATTGGTTGTTGGATTTTTATCAAGAACTTTTTTGGTTATTGAAATTATCACTTAACATAGTTATTGATTAAAAAATCGAGCTACAAGCCAAAATAAACAAGTAATATTTCAAACTACATGTAGATGAGAAAAAATATAAAACTTACAAAAATATTACTTGTTTATTTTGGCTTGTAGCTCGATTCTTTAATCAATAACTATGTTCTATACAACTTAGCCAGCCAATTTTGGCAATAAAATTTATTATCTCTTAACTTGATACAAGTTCATATTAACCATCTTAATCAATACATGTAATGTAAACAACTGGAGAATTTGTTTTTTTATTTGTATGGAAAATTTGAAGATGCAAAAAATCTATACTGTGACCACGAGTACAAAGATTCTTGAGACGTCTTTAAAAAGAAAAGATAATGGGCCTGTTGCAAACTTTTACTAGAGCAAAACTAAGAGTTGTTTCTTACAGAAAATGCCTCAAAAATCACGATGAGCGCATCGGCAAAGTCTGAAATGCACTCATAATTTCACAATTTGCGTAAGAAATTTGCGGTTTTTTGAGCTTCCCGCTTCGAAAACGATACTACGGTACAGGTGAAAATCTTGTTAGAGGAGTCGTTCCATTGGCGGCAATACTCATCATGGCCGACGCCAGTCCGCCAAAGCACGTGTGATGGGACGAGATAACACCTGAACAGGATTAAACCAGATAACAATCGGCGTGTTTACGTTCATATTTTCCTCGCCCGCCTTAATTGACCTTGAACTCTCCTCGAATTACGCGAGGAACTGCGCAAGCGTCGGCCATGATGAATATTGCCGACGATGGAGCGACTCCTCTAACACAATGTTCACCTGTGCAGTAGTATCGTTTTTGAAGCAGGAAGCTCAAAATAACGCAAATTTCTTACGCAGATTGTGAATATATAAGTGCATTTCAGACTTTGCCAATGCGCTCATTGTGATTTTTGAGGCATTATCTATAGGAAACAACTCCTCATTCTGCTCTAGCAAAAGTTTGCAACAGGCCCATTTAACATTCTTCAATACATATCACAGTTGAAGCTTATATTAAATACTAGCTGTTCAAGGTGCGCTTGTGCATCCTGAACAGCTAGGCCGGGGGTTCCCCCCTGGGTGGCTTTGAGGTCTCCATGAAGTAGAGTGCCTGTATAGCAAGAGTATGGACAGCTTGCTTCATGGAAGGCTTAGGGCCCAAAAGGGAAGCCAGCCCTTTGACACATAAAATTTCAGTGCCATAATCTTCAGATTCCAACTCAAACCAAGATGGTTAAAAATGTTCATAAATGTGCGCTCTACCGTAAAAATGAGAGAATTTATGCAAAAACTAAGTCAAAGATGTGCTTTGCAAAAGATCGGTCGAGACAATTTTAATAATAAATTGTTCTGGGTAATTTATTCATAGGTTGGCTGACTTTTTGGGCCCTTACTTTGGTCGCGGAGGCCTTGGTGAAGGTCTGATGGATTTTTGGAGTTTCACACCTGTCTATTCTCTTGCTACATGGGTACTCTACCCTGAAATGGCGGCATCAAATTGATTAGTCACTTCATTCGTTTTTCTTATATTATTTTTTAATTTTTTTTTGTTTTGTTTTTTCCAATTGATTTATTTTTTTTTTTGTTATTTTCATCTGCCTTTGATGAATGAAAAACATTTGTTTGCTGACTAAAGAAAAAACATGCCAAGACAAAGAGAAATTATTCTAAATACGTAGGTTCCTACAATAGCAGTTCATCATAACCAATGCTTTTTGTTGTTACATCTACGTCATGCAGTTGTTCCGCTTTGGTGAGCAAACAAACATTTTCTCAGCAAGTGCCGGAGAAATCGAGAACGCTTTTCAAGTAAGCGAGCAAGCGAAGCATCTAACAGGATAGGCTAAGGATGACTGATAAGCGAGGTGGCTTGGAATGCTCCCCATCATGTTTCTCTGTGGACTGCGTGAGTGTGCGTCTGCGAAGTGAGCTCTGCGGCTCCACCCAGTCATCATGGATACCGACTGGAGGGGCCGCGCTGCCGCACTGCATAGCTGGTGATTCAAAGAATATTTCCCCCTTCACGGTCAAATCTTTTTTCCCCTCTCAAGGTCAAATCTTTTCAGAGAGTCTTTGAGGTTTATATAGTGGATGTTGTTCATAGTGACACTAGTGTGTATTTCTTCACTTACCGATTCCTACGATACGACCGACGATCCCGCCAAGGCAAAGGCTCGGTATGAAAAGCCCACAGGGCACTTTCATACCAAAAGTAAACACTGTTGTAACAAGCTTGAAAATCAGAGCAAGGATGAGAAGGAATACAGCCCAATAAAGACCTTCTCCTGGTTTGAGCCCACCACTTCCATTCAGCGTTGGATCAAACTGGTATGAACTGAAAGTTAATTTGAAATAGCGCAGAAATAAGATGGATCATAGAGTAAAGAAATAACTTAATAAATAAGGTAGAGGTATGATGACTACATCTGATTACAAAAAGCTTTGATCATGATGAAAAAGTTTACATACATCCAAGATGATAAAAAACACTGATGATTTGAGTTACAGTTTCTGAAAATTTAGTGCTGCAATATGGTGATTTTTTTACAATTATATCTTTCTGAACCAAAGAACTGGAAAAAATCTACGCTATTTAGGGCACGGAGGATCTTATAGAGGAAAAGACAATGAGTCAACAAAAAGAAAATCATTGCAGGAAATTAACAGCTTTCAAGGTGTTTGGAAAATTCTTCAAGAATTAATGTTCTTTAACTTCCTTTTTGGTCAAAAATGCTACATTAAAAATAAAAATGACAAAATTGTATTTTATTAATTTTTTTTCCAATTTTAATTGTAATCAGAATTAATTTCTTCATTTGAGATCAAATTTTAATCAAGTTCGAAAATCCTTATTCTCACAGCTCTGCTTAATACATTCACCACCACTAAGCTTTCGCAAAAATACTACTGCAGGGTGCTTACTAAAAATATGTAATTCTCTGGAGGTGACTAAAATTAAGATGGTTGGAACTGTGTACTTGGTGGGCTTCGAAGCCAAAAGACCAGAAACCACATCGCAAGCTATCAGACCAAATAAGCAACTAGTTACAGGCACCTAACATGCTCGCCAACTATCCGTTAGGTATTTGGCCTGGCAAAGGGCTCTCGACACAGTAATCTTTTGTATGATCGGCATAGCTAAACATTTGCACCGTTTCATTTCATCTTAATCCATCAGACAAACACATATTTATTTTAAATAATCAGCCTGCTGGTTTGGTTTTATTAGTTAATTCACAGTTTCTGTAAGTAAAGATATACGTATGGAGAAAATTTTGTAATACTTCAATTATCCTTGGTATCTGAGTTAAAGACTTACCAAAGTGGATCCTTGACAGTGCCGCATTGACTAAATAAGAGATAAATTAATTGACTGGTTGACATTCTGGTATACGGGTTTGGATAGGCTACAACAGCAGTGACAGCAGTTACGACCAAAACTTCTGTCACAGGGTACTGCCCAAGTCGAGACATTTTGCGGTAACGGCACCAATACAAGTTAGCTTTGATGAAAATAACTGCAATGACACCCTGAAATTCAAAACACAAAATCCTCCTTAAAACTTAAAAAATGGGTGTATGCAAAATCGGCAAAATTTCCCCCCACATGGATTTTGACCAATTTTCAATATGCCATCCTTCAATGTAGGATACACCTTTTCACAAAATTTCAAGGCCTGAAACGAGTTTCTTTCCGTGTAGCAGTGTTGCCAAGTTGAAAACCGTTGAGTTCCATATCTTTTGAACAAAAAAAGATATTGAGGTGCAGTTTGCGCTAAAATTCTTCTATAATTGCATCCTTTTGAAATATGCAGTCGATTTGATTCTACTTTCTATTTCTGGCCTTTAAAGAGGCCTCCGATGAGTTTTAAGGGGCCTTGCAGTCCATTGTTCCCATTTTGACCCTTTTTTAGGGTTTTTTCAATTTTACCTAAGTAAAGCTTGATTTAAACTAATAACTGTGTACTTTTTGGGAAGGAACATAAAAAATGAATAAAAGTATAGATGTAAATTTTTTCTGCATGGCCAAATTTTCAAGAAAATCGTTCCAAAGCCAAAAATTGGATTACTAATAACGTTAAAGGTTTTAGAAAGTGAATGATGACTCTGGTGAAAAATGCCACAATTAAGGTTCAGGAAAGTGGGTCACAACTTTTATATTGACGTACGTAATAGCTCTTACCCGTCCACACAACAGTATTGTAGTAAAACAAAACTTAAAATTCACATTTTTCACATGAGAGTCATCATTCACTTCCTAAAACCTTTGACGTGATAATTAGTCTAATTTTTGGCTTTACAACGATTTTCTCGAAAATTTGGCGATGTAGAAAAAATTTACACTTACACGGTTATTCATTTTTTTACGTTCCTTCCAAAAAAGTACACGGCTTTCAGTTTAAATTAAGTTTATTACATAAGTAATATTGAAAAAACCCTAAAAATGGGTCAAAAATGGCAACAATGGACCGCAAGGCCCCTTAAAATTCATCGGAGGCCTTGGTAAGGCCAGAAATGGTGAGTACACAAAAAAAATACCTAAGGATGACCTTGCAAAGCTTGTCGATGGCAAGAAAGGGGGTGTGCAGACGACTCCGAGCGCCTGGATTCCGGTGAGTGCGCAAAACGTAATCTTTGATAGCTCATATCTCGTGTCCCAATCGTTTCCCTGGGAGGTATAGTACATCAAAACAGAGAAGTACGACAAATAAGATGAACAGCTTTTTGTTCGAATCGAGAATCTGGCATTTGACGATGTACCAGGGTTAAAAAACACAGCTCCTAAAAATGTGTGAAAAATGGCATCATTGCAATCTTAAATTGCCTAAACAATCAAATTGACTGCATATTTCAAAAGAACGCAATTTTTGAAGAACTTTAGAGCAAACCGCACCTCGATATCTTTTTGCGATCGGAAGATATGGAACTCAAAGGTTTTCAACTTGGCAATGCTGCTACACAGAAAGAAATTCATTTCAGGCTTGAAATTTTGGGAGAAGATGTATCATATAATGAGGAATGACAAATCGATAATTGGCAAAAATTCAAGAATGGGGGGGGGGATTTTGCCAACTTTACAAACACCCCCTTCCATATGCGCTACAGAATTGAACGAATTTTTTTTTTTTTACTTTAAAAGAGTAACCCTGTGCTTTATTGGTTGAAGCCCCCTCCCTCTTCAGGATTGATTCAAGTAATTATTCACTTCTTTCAGACTTCTTGTCCTTACCATAGACCCTGAACGAGAACTTCAATTCAAGAAAAATTAAGTTTTAAAAGTTCATAGCAATCTTTCACTGTCAGAACTCACTGGACCACTTTAAATTTATGATACATATAAAGAACATTGCCGTCAAAAGTTGAGTTTCCCTCAGACTTAACACTTATAATTATGGTAAGGACAAAAACAATTAATTTTGTCCTTACCATAGACTATACAAAAAGTGCTAAACCTGAACAATACTCAACTTTTGACAGCAGTGTTTATTACGTACAGTGGTCCAGTAAGTTCTAACAGTAAAACTTGGTTATGAACATTTAGAACCGTATTTTCCTTGAATTCAAGTTCTCATTCAAGATCTACAATAAGGACAAAAAGTCTAGAAAAATTGAAGTTATTTGAACCAACCCTTCAGTCCCAACCAGCCCTCGGTAACGATTGTTTGAAACCATCATACTCTGCTTGTCTAGCCAGGAATCGAACCCAAGACCACCTGGTCATAGAGCCAGTGCTAAAACCACTACACCTTAAAATCCTTTCATGAACCTTTTTCTCAAGGGCCCAAGAACAAGGGCAAAAATTTTGGATTTTGACTCTATCGCAGTAGTGGTTGCCTGGAGTGATAGGCTCAAAATTTGTCTTTAATAAACAGCCTGGATAAGAATTTTAAATAAACTTTTTGGGATCAAAAGATTGAAAGCACGCCAAATATCACGATTTTATCTGTTTTTTTTGAAACTTTGATTTGGGGCACTTGGGCTCGAAAGAAAAAATCAGTTCAGTTGCTATTGAGCTAATCCTGAAATATGTGTGATTGAAGAGCCTAACTTCTAAGTTGACAAGTATTATAGCCACAACGTGTGGCATTTAGGTACATGAATTATAAATAAATAAATAAATTCTTTGGTCTTCAAAAACCATTTTTCTACTTAATTTTGAACTTATTTTAAGACATTTTTTCTTATTGAAACCACTCATTGACACCTGCTCACTTAGCCAGAGTTTACTGTATGGTTTTTGGGGGATTATTTGAATATTACTTACTCCAATAATTCCGAGTCCTATGAATGGAATTAGCTCAAAAAACATGAATGGCTTGTTGTACTCAACATAGAACAATACTGAGTGTTCGTTCCCAAATGGATTTATTGAGTGAAGAACAAAAGCTGCTACCAAAGCACAAAAGAATGATCGCCACAGTGTCTTTAAAGGGAAGTAATAACTGACCTGGGAAAAAAAAAATGAAAAACTCAGCACCAGTATGTCATTGAAAAGAGATATTATGATGCTAATAATACTTGGACCTCACTCCTTATCACATGGCAGAACCGAATTCAACTATGTACAAGCCTCAAAACTCACAAAGGAAGGGTACAATCATGTCAAATGTATCCTTTAAATTTTCGAAAAAAATTATAAAAAAATAGAGCTGGGCAAAAATGGTTTTTCGGCCTTCAATTGAAAAAGAAGTTCAAATATCGCATTGAATAGAATCGAATATTTTTACCTATTTCTGATCAGAAACACCTGTTCCTTTTTCAACTTAAAGCAAAAATGTTTGATGTTGTTTTCATTAATACAGTAAATAATTTCTCTTTACTTTTAATCTTGTGGTTAAATACATTTAATTTACATTGAGGCACTGAAAGTGTTTTTTTGGTGCAAACTTTTGAGTAGACTTCCAACACGGTTGGAATCGAAATATCAAGAATTGTCGAATATTCGCACAGCCCTAAAAAAAAATACAAATCGATGGCCACGGGGATTAAGGGCTCAAGGGAAACCGCATACCTCTGTTTGCTACTATTAAATTTTAGATTAAAACTATTATTTTTGAGGATTTAGAGACCTCTCTACCTTTTATAAACATGATCAAGGAGGAAAAAAGATTCTTACTTCTTCTAAACTGAAAAGAACACCACCTATAGGAGCACCAAAAGCCACAGAAACGCCGGCAGCTGCTGCTGCTGAAAGGATCTCTCTTTTCTTGGCTTCGTTTCGACCGTACTTTGGAAATAAATAAGATAGAATGTTACCTGAAATATGGAAAGAGATTACTAGCTAAACAGATCGTTCGAAAACATTTCAAATGTAAAAAAAAAAGCAGATGGATTGCGCTCAATTCTAGGGTAATAGTACAGTGGTTTATGGCAAGGACGCTGCAAATCGTGATTCAGTTTTGCCACTTAGGGAGGTCAAACTAGATGATATTTTAAGAGTTTTGAGTCGAAGAGGCATTTTCAAAATGGTGGCAGATCCAAGATGGCGGCCATTCAAAATGGCGTCCGGGCGCGTACTTTGAGCCGCTATGGATCGAGATCCACTGAACCGATTTAATTTTTCTTTTTTTTGTTTGATAGATAATTAAAAGGTAAATACAACAAAATCACAAAATTTTTGATTCTAACAATATACAGGGTGTTTTTTTTTTCATAAAAACCGGTTTTTCTGTATTGAAAAAAAAAGCTTTTAACCCATTTATCTTTTAAAATCGCATTATTAAGGTCACTTTTAATACTCGCCATGTAAAAAAGCGTCTTTTAAGCTTTCCAACGATATATTACATGATGGGTCTATGATTTAAGGTTTCCGCGCCACTGCGATCCGCGCGGCGGCGGCACAGCGCGGGCCTGCATAAATTAGTCCACGGGCATATGTTGAAAAGAAGCCTCCCGTGGAATAGTAAATGGAGTAAGTGTGGAAAATGCCCTAATCTCTTCTTTTCGATGTGTAGAAAAATAATTTTGATGTTGTCAAGCTCAATTTTGCGTCCAACCCCACCAATTCAACATGGCGGCTAAAATGGGGGCTCGGGGGTTGAAGATAAGGGAATTTGTTTTTGATGTCGTGTATGGGGTTCATCACTTTGTAATTTTGGTCGTAGAATCCGAATTTGAGGTCCAAAATTGTCTCCGGCTCAAAGGGATGCCCAAAATCAAATATAGCCGCCAAAATTTCCACGATAGGGTCAAATCTCCGAGAGTTGCGTAAAAGTGCCGAGTAGGGTATCTTTCCTAGGGTTTTTTGGGTCGTAGATTTTACTGATGAGGTCAGAATTTTACTACGGGTTTATTGAAGCTCAAAAATTTCAATATGGCGGCCAAATGGCTGCCGTTGCGGGGTGAAATGTTTTGTTGAGGCTCGTATCGTCGAGTGAGGTGTCCCTGCATGGGTTTTTTGGGTCGTAAATTCCACAAATGAGGTCCAAATACCCAAACAGGCCCATAAAAGTTCTCTAAGAACCAAAGTGGCCAACATGGCTGCCGCTCAGATAGTGAGAACGGTAGAGAAGTTACCTTTCATATAATGATGAATTTTCGTGTATGTTTTGTACTCCGCTGATTCCGGATGTAGTCCAGAATGTCAAGAAATTAAGTGAAGCATATACGTATACCACGTAATTTGCAATGCTTGTAAGATTTCGCAACCCACACTTCCTTTTGGAGGAAATGTATGACTTACTCATACTCAGAAAATTTTGCAGTCATAGACACGGCAAAAAAGTAAAATGTTTGGGGGAAAATCCTGCAACTCAGCATGGAATTGTCAGTTCACTGTTTGCAGGAATGCTACACGTCTCTTGACAATTTCATACACTGTGTATTTTGAATGAAATTCTTGCAAATTCATCACACGGAACAAAATCTTTGATGTTTATGGGTATATGTTTTAGTCCATGGGTACGACAAATCTTCTCTTTTGCACAACGCAAATGTTATTTTTCCGTTTTGTGCTCAAAAAGAGGGTAGACATTTTTCGGTGCATATGATAGGGTGGATACCTATTATGTACTTTATTGGCTGCTTAAACCAGTTTTGGTTTACCTTATTGTTCTCTAAAATTAAGAATGTTGCAGGAGTCGAAATGTCCGACGAATGCGTTTTAGGGGGAGGAGGATACAATTTCTTGAAAATTTAATTTCCCCTCGAAGTGTTATACCAATACTGCGCACAGGGATTGGCTGATGGTGGACTTTTTTGTATTGATTTATTATCTTAAACCTCAGCTTATTTCTAAAATTGTGGTGAGAATCCTGCTCTCCAAAGATGGAATGCCCCTTCGTCCGCTGAACTCCCAAGGGTGACCGAGGGGGCTTTGGGATGACGAAAGCTGCACTATTTGTCCTCTGGACTGTGTCCGGCCTAAAGTAACCCAAGCAGAAAAAATTCTGACACGTGAGGTTTAGGACATCCTGAACATTTGACTGTCAAAGCCGGAAATGGTATACATTTTCTCCTATCATGCTGCAATTTTCTAGAAAATCTTCATTCGAAAGGGAAAAGAGGATATCTTCACTCTGGTAAAAATTGGCTTTAGAATCTATGTTCCTAAATGCTATAGATCTATAGGCGGCTTTCCAGAAACAGGGCACAAATGGCAAAAAATGGCCTTTGAGAAAAATGCATTCCAAGTTTCCATCATTATAATTATGGCCACTGACTGTGACTTACGTTCGAAATCGGGAGTCCAAGCTGCGATGTAAGTTATCATCAGTGACCGGAAAGTAATGATGGAAACTTATGATGCATTTTTCTCTTACGCAATTTTTTGCAATGTGCCCTTTTACCGGAGAGCTTCTCAATTGTTAAGTCCACGTTCCTGCTGTTAAGTAGGATGAGGCGTGCAACAAAAACGAACACTATCTGCATACGAGGTTGCTACAAATCGTAAACTAGAATTATTTTTCATTGTGATCAGTAATTTGTTCGTGCCTAACATTGAGGCTGAATTTAATTTTTTCATCCTCACAAAATACTTGTAATACATTTCGGTCATATAGATTTAACAGCACCACGAATGCGTAAGGTGTTTTTCAAGGACAGTGTTGAAGTAAATTTCTTGGTAGACTCAGTGAGATATTCTAATCAATCAAAAGTACACATGATTTGTCCTACCGAACATATACAAGATATTCACCCTACTTTTCAGATGGAAAACGAACGAATAAGATTTGTATTCAAAATAGGGTATTTTTTCCTTTCATCAAGAAAAGTATCTTCTTGGGAAAAATCAGGAAATACGCTCTTGAGCATGTCCTAGATGTACTACAGACCACTAACGCTACCACTCCGATGTACTAGAGGACTACAGCCCCTACCCTCACCCATGGGTCAAAAGTGTGATTTTCTCGTTTTGAATGGGCTCCTAGATGCCTCTCTAAGAGTTGATCCGGTTTTTTCCATTTAAGCGCATTTTAGATCCAAAAAACGCATTTGCGCAGATTAGGCGTTTTTCCGCCCATTTAATCCAATATAATTTTGCCCGTAGTTTTGATCCCTTCGAGCATCAGCTAAAAAAGCTTCAAATTGGCTCAAATTTTATACAGCCAATTATTTTTATAGATAGCATCGACTGCCACCCGGACCTCGTCGATTTTCCGACATGACGAAAATGGTATCTATTTATTTAGCCACGGCTCATTTAGCCACGCGGCGAATTGCCACAAGCTCTGGGTGCTGTGTGGCTAAATGAAACAAGAAAAGATAGTGTGGCTAAATGCAACAAAAATTGTTGCAGTTAGCCACAGTGTTTGGAATGGCCTACCAAATTCAGCAAAAAAAATTGTTATTTATACTCCCATTCTTATTTTACTGCAGTGTAAGTGATTTTATTGAAGATCTGGAATAGATTAAAAATATAAACAACTTTTCGTATGTATTGAAAACAATTTTTTTTAAAAATAATTTTACCATCCTCCACTAGTGAACAATGCAATACTGATTCTACTTCACTCTGAAATACATGAAAATCTACTAATAGGAAAAAATCCGAAGGAATTATTGACTACATGCATCCAGGTCTCCTTCCTTAGATTAGGGGGTTTTGCCGACTGGCGACTTGGACGGTCAACCGTTGGAATTCGGCGGTTTACCCCGAATCTCCACCGCGGCGGTGCGTTTTCGGGGGTTCGGCACTCTCAACGTTGTGATGGACCGCCGCCATATTTGTTTACGAAACCAAGCCTACCGGTGCCATCGGTACCATCGTGTGCTGATCGATTATAGTATAATAATTCCAAATTAATTTAATCGTTTCAGTCGTTCCATTTTAGCCTCAATAAGTTAAGCTCACCGTTACGCGAACGTAAGTATTTGTTTACTTTTTGCAACTGTTTCACTCCACTTGTACATTGTACCAATGTCTTCGTGGAGTGGGTTTTCCACCGGAATTTACTTATAAAAGTCTCCAAACGTCTCTGATTAATTGGTATGAATATCTAGTATTCTCAAATTTAAATGTAGTAGCGCTGCTTGATTTTGTAACTTTTAACTTCGAAGTTGTTTGTGATACCTCTTTGTTGATGCATCAAAGGTAACACCGGCCTCTTGCCGTAATATGTCAATATTTGCGAAAGACGTCGAACATCCAACAAATTCCATTGCTCTCAGCAGTATAAACCATTATTTCAGTATTTTCCAGACCGAGTGCAAATAACTGAAAGGATGAATGCATAAATATCTCTTGACGCTTGCTGCCTGTTGGGCTGATAGTTTTATTTGTGTTGGGGTCAGAACAAAGCTGAATCAATGGCTTTTCTAGTTCAGAGGTAAGGAATTTATCCGAAGAGAATCATTTGACTCTGTTGTGCAGCCTCTCATAACATAGCCAGACCTAAAGTCCACATGCTTCTTTTGAGGTCAGAAAGGTCTTTACAGAAGTCAATATAAGTGAAAATTTTGTTTTCAGGCCCCCAGCTACTTTATCTGCAAAGTGAAATCTACATTTTAACCATTTATGCTAGATATTCCAGAGAAATTGGTCAGTGATGAGTCTAAGTGTGTAGACTCTGATGGAAAATCCACCGGACAATGACGCTGGTGTTTTGAAGACAGTTACAAAAAAAACAAATGTTGGCAAATGCGTAACAGACAAGTATCGAAGTCTGAAGTCTACCATAAACGTACGACTTAACGTAGATTTGAAAGATTAGATTGAATGATTAAATGTAGCTGTGCCATTTCAGCTGGACCCGGGAAATCTAACTGGAGAGGTCTTGTGCCTGCGGGGAGGGAGTTGGGCGCTGCTGACACACTTC